ATTCATATTTTCAAGGGACTCAGATGGTCTTCTACACCTATTTATCATGTATATTTCTTTTCACTCCTTTTTGTAGTTGTTGCATGGAATTAGTCATGACACTGTATCTTCTGATGATTTTTTACTGGCACCAGAAGCCTCATTCCTCCGTCTTCTCGTGCTCCATACATGGGAAATCTCAAGGAAAGACTAGATTCTGTGCCCCTGATGTTCCAGATCTCTATGGAATTTTCCAGCACTAATTCACAATATCACAATTTTAAAAATCCCTGATTTTGTGTCCTTTCTAAGGTTTATTGAAGCATTTTTGACATGCTGGGAGGCATGAAATCAACAGACACTTTGATGATGGAGGTGATTAACATTTCATATTCTCTTGTGTGTATCGTATCATCTGATTCACCAACTGTACCAAGCGTGTTTAAGGTCCTCTGCCTCTGGATGGTGTCAGCTAAATAGATTCTGTGAGCATGTGCTCCACACTATGACCCCCCACACTGGGGCCATTCTTCTCTGGCTTTGGCTTCATGGTGGCCCTGTACCTGATGTCCAGCATGAACTTGATGATGCTGGCTCACAGCCTGTACACTGGGCTGTGTGATGCTGTGTTGTTGAGTCCAGCAGAAACTTTTACAGACTTAGCAGACTTACATCAGAATGTCCGTAATTGTCATTGAGGGAAAAGATTCATCAAGTGTAAGTGACTTCCTGTCTTTTGTGCATGTACATACAGTTTTCTCCTATTATAGGCAATGTTTCTATTCACAGATGTAAGAAATAAGAACAAGTCATAATTCTAGAAAGTCTCATTGGGGAAACTGGTTTATGGAAAGGAAGACCCAAACTGTGCCAGGAAATACGCATTTAATCTCCACCTGCACCTGCTTCTGGTGCAGAAAATGTATTGGTGGGTCTTGAGCACCCCATGGTGACCTGAGTACCCCTTCTGTCCTGAGCGCCCCTTGTCTCTTGAGCTCCGGAAAGTGATCTGAGTTTCCCCTGGTGATCTGAGAGCTCCTTGGTGTCCTGAACACCCCCTGGTGGATTCTGGGGCCACCTGCAGCCCCGCTCCTCCTGTGTCCCTGCAGGGAGGTTTGTGTCTGGGCTCACACTGATTTCTCCTCAGTGTGCCTCTAGCACAGTAATACACGGCTGTGTCCTCGGTGGTCACGGAACTCAGCTGCAGGGAGAACTGGTTCTTGGATGTGTCAGCAGTGATGGAGATGCGGCCCTGGAAAGCCGGGTTGTAGCTTGTACTACCTGTCCAGTAGCCCATCCACTCCAGTGCTCTCCCAGGGCGCTGGCGGATCCAGTTCCAATAGTAACTGCTGGTGACGGAGCCCCTGGAGACAACACATGTGAGAGAGAGTGTCTGTGAGGGCTTCACCAGTCCTGGGCCTGACTCCTGAAGTGTAAGTTGAGATAGGACACCTGGGGACAAGGAGAGTCATGGTGAGTCTGTCCCACCCCACAGAAAGGCTACCGTCTATCCCAGAGCCCCCAGATCCTCACCCAGGGGAGCTGCCAGAAGGCAGAGGAGGGACCACAGCAGCTGCATGGTTGCCTGCAGGATGGAGACCCAGCACGCTGACCTCTGCCTGTGATGTCTATTTCTTCTGGGAGCACCCCAGGTGATTGGCATGTGGGTCCCCACGGAGGAGGGGAGGCATTAAAAGATCCTGAACCCTGGTGACAGTCATCAGTACTTGGTGTCCCCATGTTGGTGGTGTGAGGGCCCACTGAACCTGGTCCTAGCGATCTAGGCTCCAGTCCGGCCTGAACTGTCCTCTAGCACCAGTTGCTTGAGAGGGTTTGGCTGGAGCTTATGAACGTTTAGAAACCTTATGAATGTTCTCTTATATTCCATTGCCAGGCTGTCCAACAGTGGGCTGCAAGTTCAACCTGCAGAATTACCTGTTCACAAACCTGGAAGACAGGCAGTTGTCCAGACTCCAGACCCTGACTGCCCAGTTTGGGTCATTTGCTCCCACAAATCAGATATGGGGTCCCAGATGATGGCAGTGGATGCGATCTCCAGTCTCCATCTACAAAAGGGATGTTTGGAACTATACTCCAGCATTTACATAAGGAAACAAGCTCCTCCGTGTGGAGGGCAAGGCAGAAAGATTGGGTGTTATGTGGATATTCTTTTCTTTTTTTAAAAAAATTTATTTAAATTCAATTAGCCAAGTAAAGTACATTATTAGTTTCAGATGTAGTGTTCAGTAATTCATCATTGGGTATAAGATCCAGTGCTCATCACATCATGTGACCTCCTCAATGCCCACCACCCAGTTACCCCATTGCCCCCACCCACTTCCCTTCCATAACCCTCAGTTTGTTTCCTATAGTTCAGTGTATCTCATGGTTTGTCTTCCTGTCTCAGGACATCCCATCCAGCTTCCCCTGCCTTCCCCTATGATCCTCTACTTCTTATATTCCACATATGCTTGAAACATATGATAATTGTCTTTCTTTGATTGACTTATTTCACTCAGCGTAATACCTTCTAGTTGCATCCATGGAACAGAAATCTGTATATACAACTGAGGCATTATTGACCACGACATCTGAGTCTAATGAGGTATTATGTGTTGTTAACTGAATTCAAACAAACAAAAACGCACCTAAAATTCAACCCACATGGTCCATTCCCCACCCTGAGCACAGATGGCTCTAGGGAGGAACCCATTAATATGAGCTGGGAAGAGAAGCTCTGGTGTTCCTTTTCCACACAATCTGAGACATGGAGACCCTAATACACAGGCACCTT